ACTCATATACACGTTAAGAGTGTAGCATGAATGGGTGTTGTGCTTCAATCACTTCATAGCTCTTTCCTGAAGCTGCTCTCCATCTCATGTATCTGTAGAATTTCTGCACTTATGGAACAGCAGAGGGAGCCAGAAGTTCAAAGTCAGAGCACAGGGATGAAGCGGGATTCATTGGCTAAACTGAAGAGGAGAAAGGAGGGCGGGGGGTAAAAGGGGGAGAATTGCCACCCAAATTACCTACAGAAGCAGCGAGCAGAATATCTCTTCTGGATTGCTGAAACACAGATGGTCTTTGCTGCTGTAACAGCTCTCCCTTCTTCCAAGACAGAAACGTGCAGCAACAGTGGTCATTTCCTCCATCAGAGAGAGGTAAGAATTTTCTGAAGTATTTATTTCAGATTTACAAGATCTCTGATCTCTTTAATAAAGGTATCACTCTTGATTGTCAACATTTGTTCAGCTTCAGTTGCTGACAGATGATAATATCATTATTAATTCCTTTATATTCTGATCTCCTTCTGCTTTGGTTTTCTGGTCAGAAACCAGTCAGCTCAGTGAGGATTCACCTGAAACTTTAACCTAGGACGTGAGGGAAGAACTGTATATCTGAGATGTATAGGACTGAGTTGCTGAGTAGTTACTACATTCATACAATTCAAACAAACAAGTTTTAGAAGAACATGAAAATATGGATTCAGAACAGTTCTGACTTTTCATTCAGCAAACTATTATGGTAACAGGAAATAATGAAACACATTCAATTAGCATTTACATGTTAAAATTAGGTCACTGGAGCTGATGGGGATGTAGTTTAAATTCAAGATAAGCCGTGGAATGAAAGCCAGGTTGGATTCCTGAAAGCAAAGAATTCTTACACAGTTCTTCAGTTCCACGAAACTGTTGTGGATTTCTTGGTGGTTTTAAAACCATACAGAAACAAGGACGGAACGTGAAGTGAATCTGATCCAAAGTCCACAAGGATCAATGAGCTCTGAATCCAGTCACAAGGCAAGGAAAAACAGTAATAAATACTTTGCTCTGTTTGTATACTTTTAAAGCTCTTTCCCTAACTCTGTTGCCAGAGAGAGCCTTGTCACCTCCCCTAGATCTGAACAGCACCAAGCACTCAATTAGATTTTAATACTGCCACAATAAACATTAACACAATTATTAATAGTAATAATTTAGCAAGAAGGTTTATAAAAGCAAGAGAGGCCATAACAAATACTTAACTTTATCATTCAGTGTAGATTAAGGCTGTGCAAACAATTGATTTGTCAGTGCCGGACTGATACGGATTTGAGCTCGCAGAGGATGGGTGCACCAAACCATCACTTTCCACTAAGCAGTGACAGTTTTTGACAGATGCACCCAGCCTTGCTCACTTCTGTGGGTATTTAAACCATCTTTCAATGTTATAGACTTGTAACATATTAATTCACATGTCTCGTACCCCAGATTTTAGAAAAACTTAACATTAGCTCCTTCAGTGATCTAAGGTAGCCCCTCCCAATACTTTTGGAATAGAATTTAGCTAAGAGGAAGAGTATAAAAAATGTTCACCATTAAATCTCACTGTATCAAATGCTTTATGGATTTTGTATGGCTGTGGGATTTCTGTACGTACTCAGTGATACGTTTCAGAGTTCTGTTAAATGTTTCCAATACTTATTTGTCTCTAGTTTAAAAGAGACAGCCCATAGCTGCTTTACTCCAGATAATTGTCATAGCTCTAAATCAGTAATACAGCCATTTGGCTGTAAGAGCTGCTTCTCTCATGAAGACTTATGGACTGGAAGCAGCAAACAGGGCTTGAGCTACCAATTAAGTTCTGAGCCAGACAAGTAATTGTGTCTGAGTACCAAATGATGAAGCCAAGAACTGCAAACGTTTTTTCCCTTCTACTTATGTCTAATGTAGGAAGTAACACACACTGCCCATCATAGCTATACAGAGACTGACTCGAATGCAGAGAAGAGCTGGTGCTGGTCAGCTTTGCAAGAACAATCTGCTCTTTCCTAGGTAGCTGACATAATGTCACCGGAATTCCCTTTTCCTCAAAGAATTTTTCTGGCATATATAGGATATGGCAGTCAAGCTGATTGTAGTTTCTTTTCAATTTTTTTCTTTGGGATATCCTGAGTGATTTTTCTTAGTTTAGAAGACTGTGTTGTTCAGCGAAGCAAATCCTTCAGACCTCAGCTGCTCTATTTCCTTGCTTCCAAAAGAACGATGAATATCGGTAAAGGAAACAAATGAAGAATTTAACAAAGATTAAGTCTGAAAGTTCCCTGTTGTATTCTTCTGTATCCAGTAAAGTTGCAGCAGACTTTTGTGTCACCCACTTTTTAGAAATATCATTTCACACTGCATCAATTAAAGAAGACCTTGCTTTTGGAGCATGTTGATTTTCATAGTTGACCTCTTTCCTGAAGTTCATTGATGATTCTGAGCTGGTATCTCCTTTCCTCTTTAAAAACAAAGGAACAGCAATTTCAACTCTTTCTCCCAACTTCCTCCCCATGCTGATTTAGGAAGCTCATTGCTCCTGCAAGCCAAGCAAGTATTACTTCACTTTCTGAAAAAAAAAAAGCTGTTGCCTTTGCCCACAGTTTTTTGTTTGTTTGTTTTGTTTTGTTTTCTTTGTGTATTTTACTGAGTAATCAACATGCTTTTAATACAGTGAGGGGAGTCAGAACTCTTTTCCACCTGCACTGGTGATTCAGTTTGTAAGTCAACATTTAATTCAACTGTCTAAACAGAGGGAGCCCATATTGATTATTATTAGTTTTCAACTTAGACCAAACTGAATAGCATTAAACACCTTGAGATGACAGGACTTGGCAGTGACTGACCCTAAGAATTTGTCATCTAGGGGTGCTGTAACAGGATACGTAGATATAAGGTCACTGTTCTACTTTTCTAGAAATGTTTTTTACATGCTAGACACTGGAATAAGAGATACAGAGAGCTGCACACAGGTCATCTAGCCTCTGACTTTCCAAAGGAATCAGGTCCAACAAGCAATTTCACATCTACTTAGTGCACCAAAGCTTTTGCTGAGACGCTCACATCTCACTTCCCTGCCTCATCCCCTAGCCTGTGATATGAGGGTGATAATATATTATGAACCTGTGGCATCACCATGAGAACACATGACTGGGAAGTGCTTGCCAGTCATCTTGTGAGAAATATTACAGAATGCAATGCACTGAAAGAGATGCCTAACCCAACAAAATGCAGAGCCTTCAGAGGCACCACAATACTGTCTGCAACAAATACACACTCACACTCTCCCTTTGGTGTTCCTCTTGGGAGCATGCCCCTTAAATCTGTGGGATCTGGCTTATACTTTTACCTTGATGAGTGAATTTGCTCAGCAGTTACTGCTACTCCAACAGTGAGTCTCACCATACCACTTAATGTATGCATTATTATCTTGACCACTTGTTTTTTTTGAAGCTCTGAGAAATTTATCACATCTTCACAGATTTGAGTAGCATTTGATTGCAGAGGAAGGGCTTGTGTATTGGGTAAATGGTATAAATCACTGTGTATTTATTTGCTTCTCAAGTCAGAAGTCTTCATACAGCCTGTAACTGCCTCTGATTGGAGAAGAGCTCCCAGCAGGGTCAGATTTTTTTCTTTCATTTCTGGATGTAGATTTGGGTTCCAGAGTAAGGATGATAGAGAAGGCTCTACTAAAGCAAGGGGTATTCATTTACATCAGTGTGCCCTGATGGCCAGCTGGAGGAAAGGAGCTGATAACAAAAAAGAAAGGGTATATCACCCCCCATGCAGAGTGGAAAAGGAACTCAGGAACATGCCAGGTGATTACAGCAGCCTCCCAGGTGTCTTCTGGTAGAGCCCAGGCACTCCTGTGGGTAGATTTCCAAAACCATGCAGCCTCAATTAACTCAACTCTTGGTTTCCTGAGATCCCAATGAAAATCACAGCTCAGGGGCTGGAGCTATGGCTGAGCGGCAGATCCATACCTTGTGCAGAAACAGCACCCGGTGGACGGCACATACTGTTAGAACATTTGAACCCTCTTGGTTAATAAGAGTAAAGTTCTGCTGAAGGAGGAATCTGGTCACATGGAATTAAGAAGGGTTGTCAAATACAGCTAGTCAGAAAGCCAAAATCAATAGGTTGGAATATATTCCTGACAAGCCCTGTGATGGCCACACTGGCCATCCAGAGGGAAACATCAGTGCCTCATGGGCAATGGGGTTCATCCACAAAGGGGAAGTAGGGAACTTGGACTGCAGTTCCCATGACCTATCGCAGCTGTGTAGAAATGGAAAAATGTTGAAGTGATTTTGAATTATTTCAGATGCTTTCAAAATTGTCCCATGTTATCCCTCCTGAGGATACAAGCCTGAATTTTTGCATGGTGATACTGTCTCAAGCAAATGCGTGTTCTGGCTGCAAATACAATTTCAGTTCACAGAGTAACTTGTGTTAAAATATTCTGGTGTTAGCTTCGTGTATCAATATATTTTAATGTTTGCATTGGTGATTTACTTGAGTGAAGGAACATGCCTCCAATAAAGTGCCTTTCCCACAGCTGTGGATCAGAGTCTTGCAAATGCCCTGCCCATAGCAGGGATTTGGAACTTGATCCTTAAGGTCCCTTCCAACCTAAGCCATGTTATGATTCTATGAAATACAAGATCATACATGATTTTTACCCCTGTGTGTTTTGATCCAACTTTCTACTGAGTTAGTGGCAGTCAAGGTACTGCTCTAAGTCGATATTAAATCCTAGGGATAACTTCACAAGTGGCAAAGTCATATTTCAGTAGATTTGCACAGATTTCCATACTTCATAAATCTGTAAACCATTCCATTTCGCAATCTGATTAGCCATATAAAAAGGAGCTGAAGATATACAGAATTATTGCTTGCTTCTCGGTCTTATTTTCCCCCACTGCACTTTTGACTGATTTCTTGTAACATAACTAAGCAATCTTTTTCCTTTCCTTTGCAGACCTAACCAGACCTCCTGCAGTGAAATAGAACAGATAACTTTTTAGGCCAGCTCCAGAAGACCCAGTCTGTGTTTGGTTATCACCTTTTCGGACAAAAAATTTGGGGCCCAGGATGAATAAGACAAGGGCAGTTAATGATGCTTTTCCTTTCCTGAATAGTAAGAACTTCAGCTCAAATCGAAGCTTCCCCTCACACCTTTCAAATCAGTGCAGGAATGTCACTGACCTTACTGTTTTTCTGGCCGCCTCTTACAGTTTGGAGACTGTTCTAGGCATTGTGGGAAACATCTGCCTGATTGCTGTTATAGCCAGGCAGAAGGAAAAGACCAATGTCACCAACATCCTCATTTCCAATCTAATAATTTCAGACTTGTTTATGTGTCTTGTCTGCCTGCCTTTCACTGTTGTTTACACCATGATGGACTATTGGATATTTGGGGAGGTCATGTGCAAAATGACCTCTTTCACACAGTGCACATCTGTGACAGTGTCAATTCTTTCCCTTGTCCTTATTGCTCTGGAAAGACACCAGCTGATCATAAACCCAACTGGTTGGAGGCCAAGCATCTCCCAAGCCTATCTAGGAATTGGAGTCATTTGGACTTTAGCATGTCTCATGTCTCTTCCCTTTTTGACCACATCCATCTTGTCTAACGATTTGTATGAACAGCTCTCACACATCATGAATTTTTCCTACGACAAGGCCATATGCATTGACTCGTGGCCTTCTGAGCAACACAGGCTTATCTACACCACTACTCTACTTCTTCTGCAGTACTGCATCCCACTGTTCTTCATTATACTTTGCTATCTGCGTATCTACTTACGCCTACAGAAGCGAAAGGACATGTTTGAGAAGAGTGAATACAGTAACCGAGCAGTCCAGCTAAGAAGGATAAATATTTTGTTAGCATCCATGGTTGCTGCTTTTGCTGTTTGCTGGTTACCACTGCATGTTTTCAACACCATTGTGGACTGGAATTACAAGATCATTTCACCTTGCCACCACAATCTTATCTTCTCATTGTGCCACTTGGTAGCCATGGCTTCTACCTGTGTCAACCCTGTCATCTATGGTTTCCTCAATAGCAACTTCAAAAAAGAAGTGAAGTCACTGATTCTGAGCTGCCAGCATAATTCAGTAACTGCATCAATGGAAGAATATGATCATTTACCTTTATCCACTATGCAGACAGAAGTCTCCAAGGGCTCACTGTCATTGAATTGCAGACATAACTCTATCTAGCCAGCAGAAAGCACTTCAGAGGTTGTACTGACACCACACAGCAGTCATACCTGCAGGTATAAAAGCAACTGGTGATGCCAAAGCTGGAATGCAAACAGGATCCCACTGCTGCCTGATTTTTCTAAGAACAAGCAAAGAAAGTTAGTAAATGCATTCAGTGGCTCCTGGGGCGTGCGAGGTGTTTGTGTCTTTGAGGAGGTGCAGACTGGTGTACAAACCGCTGCTCTGCCAGCTCAATGGATAAGCTGTGGTGCACCTAGACTGACATTGGGTCTATCAGCTAAGTTCACATCTCCAGCACGGCTGAGGTAGAACCTCATGCATCCAACGTCACCACTGCAGGCTGCCAAAGCTGCATTCGCAAAGGCTTCATTTTTCAGTATTAAGACTTTTTATGTACTGATGACACACCAGGGGAACAGAGACATGTGAATATATATATATTTTTTGTGCTTTCCTAACTGACAAACTGTTAGCATTCAGCAGATCCAATCTGCATCAAACAGCTGGAGGTCAGTCCAGAACTTCTCCTTCTTGTCACACGGGCTTGGAAATTGCCATTGTCCACAGAAGTTGGGGCAAAGAACAAGAAAGATGAAAGTTACTGACAGAGGAGCAGTGGGAAATGAAAATGTTACTTGAATTAAGCTCTTGGAATACATTGACATGATGCAGAATGCTATTTTCAAGCAAATGAAAAACAGTTGCAGATCTGCATGGAAATGAATCTAGTTGGTTTTGCAATTCCTGCTGCTGGCAGTTACAAAGCTCTGCAAAGTTAGAAGCACACACCATGATGAGAAAAGGTGACTGTGTTACTGGAGATGTTTCATGTCTTGGTAGCAAGATTTCACTTCTGCTTCAGCAGCAAAATACTCATTAGTTCCTTGGTGCTCTAATTGCATCTAATTCAGAAAGTCTGAACATGCATGAAAAGCTGTTCGAAGAAGCCTTGTTTTTTCAGAGTGTGTACAGTCCCAAAGAAATAAGTGTACACATGCAGACCATTTCCTATTAACATAGAAGTGGATATCAGACATCAGTTCCACTCACTGACAGCAACAACAAAGATGGAGCTGAATAAGAATACGTAACTGGAATCCAGGTCAGATGGAAACACAAACCTTAAAACCAAGCTACATGTAAATAAGCAGTATAGTAAGGAGATGTTGCTCAGTGACTGCTGAGGAATAAAGAAAGCTCATACTGAGGAAAAAAAAGATAAAGAAAAGAGTGAGAAGTTCATTGTAAAAAAATTTGTAAAAAAAAAATTGAAACCATCGAGTTTATTCAAAATGAAGTAGATTAATAATAAAGAAATACAGAACTGTGTTCTGTCCTGTGTTTTTAAACTAACCTTAGCAGTAGGCTGACTATGTGGCCAAATTAGGTTATTTCTATCTTGAATTATGTTATTACTTATCACAGGTCATTACTCTTTGTAGTTAAAGGGTTTGCACAGAGTTGAAGCTATCTAATGTACAGTTATGCAGAAATCTTCCTTCAACTTGATTTTGGAAAGATTATCAGTCTTGACAGGCAATGTTAATTTGGGACTGAGCATCTGAAGGCATAAGCAAGCTCTTAGCTCTTAAGCTTATAGGGTAACAAGAGCCATTAAGGATGAATTCACAGTTGCAGATGGCAAAAATGGAAGTTAAATCTCATCCATGTACTGGGGCACAGAAATTGGTGGCAAAGCTTCAGGTTTGGACCTTCAGTTCTTGCATGTAGAATCTTCAGGCAGAAGGTGTTCTGACAGCCACACTTCTTACTCTGGGCAGAACGTGTGTATGTCAACTGGAGAGTTCATGTGATTTCTTTTTGCATCTTCCTCAACTACTTGGCAAGACATTTTTGCTTCTTTCATGTGGCCTTCTGCTGCATCTTTTGTTTTTCTTTAACTTATCTCTTGCTTTTCTTGGTTCTTTGTATGCAATGTCATTTCTAGACTGGATATCAAGCCCATTAGAAGAAATGCAGAACAAGAGGACACATTTTATCTTACCCTGAATTAAAAGTTTTTTAGTTTTCTGTTGTAGCTGAAAGCAGAGCTGATACAACCTTGCAATGCTGAGTAGTAAAAATATATTAATGTCTCATAAACAACTTCACTCTTACCAGAACTGTGTTGTATTATTTGAGTGCATGAATACCAATTACATTTTGGAGTGTTTTTATATGTTGTTCATCTAATCAGTTGAGTAATTCTGCCTGTTCTATTTGCTTGTTACAATTTCAGCACCTAACTAATGTATGTCAAGCTACAGTAAAAATATCTTGCTAAACATGAACATACAAGACTATGATTTATAATCTTACATATAGAGTTCTTCAAGCATCACTCTCTTAAATGAAAATAGCTATCTTCAGAGTTTTTCCTTTTGGAAGTGTGCGTCTTTACTGTAAGATTTAAATCAGAATGTTTTTGTAGAGAATTATCAGCAGGGTCTGACTCTCCTGTGAACTGCAACTCACGCTGCCATTTTGCCCATGCAAAGCAAAGGGACCCAATTTTACAATAACCCATACTGACATGAGCAGGAACGTGGCTCCCTCTAGTGAAGACAGGAAGCGTCAAGTCTGGAATTAAGTACTGTTTATCACTAACGGACTTGCCGCTGGGTAGACACTTCGTCCCACCAAACTCTGCTTAAAAGATACCCCAGGTAACAAAACAAACTTCAGAGTAAATCCAGAAAATGAATCTAAGTTTCAAAGGGCTGACTATCTGTGCCACGTGTAAGTTCTATCTTTGATTATGCACTGGGCATCATGCTCTCACAAATAGCCAGAACACAAGTGGTATTTTTATCATCGTTCCTTCATTTCGCAGGGACATAAAGGATGCACAGAATGTAGCTGTGCACAAAAGCAGTAGAAAGTAGTATATGCTATTCACTGTAGTGAACAGCTCTAGCAACTGTACCCTGTTCCCACTGAAGGCAAAAGCACAAGGCTGGATGTAATTATGTCTGCATGGATGTTGAAAGGCATTTCATTTGTTGCTTTGAGGCTTTCATGCAACCGAGGGGAAAATCTGTCTCTTTAGTCCCAGAAAAAGGTAACAGGACAAAAACAAACAAACAAAACCTTACATATATTTTACCCATCCGTAAATGTGATCTTGGTTAGCTATTAAGAAGGATCAACCAATTTTGTGTTCATTGTACTACAGCAATGCTTTTGAGTATGCTCTTTAAAAAGCCTTGCTACTGGATTACAAGGGTAATTCAGGAGAAACACGCTTAAGTAACAAATCATCAGTTCATGGAATTTTAAGACTTTATCATAACATTTATTTTTTATGAGAAGGCTTTTAATAATCCTGCACCTGTGATGTGCTTCAAAACAATTGTAAGATTTTCAGAGCAGGAAAACAACTTGTTACTGTTACATAAGCAGCACATTTTAAGAAACCTAGTAATAACAAATAAAATTCTATGGCCTATGTTACTTTGTCTCTGCTTTTATAAAATGGCATTATACTAATCACAGTATTAAGTACATAAGATTTAGTTCTCAAATAGCATTTATGAAGAGAAAACAGAAGTTGCAACACATGATAAGTGTCGCTGATATGTGAAGGATTAAAACCTTGATGCATTATTCCCAGGGACAGACAGTAGTATAGCACAGCCAACTAAGGAGGAGAGGACAGGTATCAAAAATTCACTATGGGACACCTGAATATTCTGATGGCAGGATGCAGCTCACCTTTACAGACTTGGCAGATTGCAGGAGACTGGCCCTACACAACATAATGTCCCTAACTGTAGTCACAAACACAACCAGAAGAAACCAAGACTGCCAAGAGCCTTCAGTAAATCATCACATCCTGAGGACCCAAGAAGCTCTTGATTCTTTTTACGCTGACCTGTGCATCTCCTTGCATTTCCACCTGACATTTCTTTCATAGGCAGTTCTCTTCAGAATTTCTAATGGCCAGACTTCCAGGGCATATTGAACATTAATATCAGCATTGTTGCTTATTACCACTGCATATTATCCACATAGCTTTTATAACTTTCCCTCGCTATCTCAGTTTGCTTAACAAAGCCATTTCTTTGAACTCAGGAAGTCATAAGCAGAATACAGCTGAGATTTATACTTCTGTACAATACCTTTTCCTGCCAGACAATGCTAATTAGGCCTTAGTCTGAATTTCCAATCTTATCCTATTCTTATCTTTCCAATAACCGCTCAATAAACTTGAAGTCCAGTAGCAGCATAGAGACTGTATGATAGAAACCCACGGTGAAACTGAATGCTGGTGGGTTGTTGATTGTTGTTTTTCAGAAATTAAAAGCTTTAAAAATATATATTTAGTCATGGTACATAGAAAATACAACACTGCATAGTTTTGTTTTTTTTAATCAACTGGCAAAATATGGTGGGTTATGCTGGACACAGTGACATCAACATAATAATATGTTTTTACTGTAGGATAACACAGATGCAAGTACAGCTTAATTTTACTAGACTCGAGATATCTCTGATAGTAGAAAGATAGCTTTTGTCAGTTGCAAGCTATGATAACATGCAGAACATGAAACTTGCACTTTAACCCATAAACATGAAGCTTTGTATTGTCCCTAAGGCTCCAGCTAGAAATCTCTGCTCTCTGAATGCAATAATTGTAGCTCATGAATTATTGTGCCCTCTACTCAGACTGTAGGAATACAAAACCTCCCTGTCAACAGCTAGTGGGCAAACACTGCTTCATCATTCATATATATTGCCTTGATTACATTTTATTCCAGCATGACTGCAAGCAGAATGCACTTATCCCATGCTATGCCCTTGGTGAGATAACTGCCACTGCTTGATAGGTTACTTAATGACTATAAATAATTCCATGTACTAAGTATTTATTTCATTTAAAGGCAGACAGTAGAAGAGGTACTGATATCCTAAAGACCAATTTCTGAAAAACAGAGAGACAGCTGAAAAATACCAGAAAGTTCTGGTATCCTCTGCATTTCTGTTAAACTCACAGCAAATACTTTCAAATGGGGAACTTTATTAAAAACAACAGCAAAGGCATCGACTGGTTGAGGAGCACAATGTGCATGTGCCCTCTGCCCTGTGCTTTTGGGAAGACTGATGGGATCCAAAGACAACAGAAGTTGGCTGACACTTTTAAAGCTGACAAGGTCATCCAACTACACCATTTCCTCATGCATTCAGCATGAATCTAATTCCTTCCATCAGAACTACAGCTAAATTGTTGCAGATTGTGAAGAGTCCTTTCACAACAATCCACAATTCCACCAGCATGTCAGAAGTCCCACACAGCACAGTGCACACAGGCATGCACAACTTCACACCAAGCGAGCTCATCATTACCAGCAGACCAGTTGGGATTATTAATCCTGCTGGCCTCTAGTACAGTTGCTTTCCCTCAGGAATACTCTGTGAAATACAGATTTTAACAGGATGAATTTATTCCACATGCATTGCAAAAGCAGGTTTCACAGCAGTGCAGTTGCATTCTCTGAGTTGCTTACATTTAGGCAAAGATGTACTGCTAAGGAGCACCTTACATTGTTGGGAAGGAAGAAGGGGCCCATCTGGCTGAAACAAGGGGAAATACTCTATCTGCACTCAGAGTAACAGGCAACGTATTTTCTAACAACATATCTTGATCCAGCTCAATTCTCTGTACTGCAAAATCAATGTTTTATGGTCCAAAATTGCAAATGCTAAGCTGTAAGTGATAACAATAGGCAGCTTTATGGTTGAAACTATTTCCACCAATCAGTTTTCCACAAACCACAAATAGTTCAAACAACAACATGCAGAGCATTCCTGGATTCATATATATAATTACCATACCATTTCCCAGGATCAGGGGTACTGTATATTATATATATTTTAAAATAATCCATAAAAGCATCCACATCCAAGATAGTAGAGCACACATGAAAGCAGAATTGTGACTGGTCTGTAGTTGAATGCTATGTTTTTGTGCAGCACGACACAGCAAATAAGCTTCTTCTAAGTACAGTAAGAAGAAACATGTCTTTACTTCAACCAGCTTGCCCATGGCAGGGAAGGTGGAACTAGGTGGCCTTTAAGGTCCCTTTCAACCCAACCATGCCATGATTCCTTCTTAACATCATTTTTTAGAAATAGGATTCTAATGAAAGATGTGGCATTGGGTGTCTGTGTGTACAGAAAATATGTGAGTATAAAGAACAGATGTAAGCCTCCTGCATCTAGGAGATTGCATAAAGTATTTATTAGTTTTTTAAACCTGGAAACAGATTAATTGATGCTGTTGCTATGACTCAACCAACAGCTGGGCTGGCTACACTCACTTCTGTCTGAGAGGTCTGTTATAGTTAGAGAACAAAAATAAGCAGTGTGATGTTTATCCTGAGTGTGTTTATCAGTAGCAATGCTATATTTTATACTTAGAATGTGTTTAATATTTCATTTTACAGCTAAACATAAATTTATTAGAGGTATAGGGCCAATAAGTAGTAACAACACCAAGGAATATCTACTCTTTATAACTATTATTGAAAAAGAAATTTGATATCTATTGAAGAAGACATTGGCAAATGTTTTAATAGATGTTTACAAATCACAACAGACATCATGTGCAGCAGAGAAATGACACAACTCAGAGCTCTAAGATTAGGCACCCAAAGCCCAGAAGGAGATCCTTGATAGTTCCTAAAACTGTTTTGAAATATAACAGCAAATGCAAGGTGACAGCTAAGCAGGTGTGGAACTCAGCCCTGCACTTACCAGCCAGCCAGCTGCATGAGTCTGGAAACTGCAGCCATGTGTCTTCAGGAGTAAAAGCATTGAAAAGAAGATGGGGCTGCACAAGGTGACCCAAATACAAGCAGGCAAACAATTAGGACATTCATCATTCCTGGAGAATCATTTGATTTTGTAATTAACTCAGCTTGAATGAGTTCACTTCTTGCAGCCCCTGAGGAGTACATACTTGTGCAGAACTTGCTGGATATACTTTCAAGCAATTTCAGTTCTTCTTGGTTAACTGTTAGTTCACTACTCAAGTGCACTGAAGGAGACACACGTGATTCTGCATACCCATACAGGAAAAGCACCCAAGAGGTAGAGTCAGATGAAGACTGACTTTAATTACTATCAGGTAATAGCCATTCCTGCTTTCAGTGAGACAGCGTAAGTCAGTATGCAATTATACACTATACTGGGTTCTTGAATTGTGCCAGTGTCTTTCCAGCTCTCTCTATCCACTTGTTCATTACTCCATGAGACATGGCAGTGCATCCCAGGAG